TTCCTCGCAGGTCGTCATGCAGGCCAAATGTGCATTCAGTCATTTCTACGACGGCTACTGGAGTCGGAGGCACCGCGTAGCAATCGGGCAATAAACAACGCCGAACGTTTTCTAACATATCCTTTTAACGTTTTAAAACTTCTACCAATTCGTGTTAAAAATGAGCCGCAGAACAGCTTGGGTAGTCCGATATCCAGTCTGAAAATAGCAGTTGTTTATGCGCAAGTTTTATTCGATACATGTCACGTCCACAGCAATCCAATACTTTTCTCAGTATAATAATCTTCGAAGGCAACTAATCTTCAAAAACTAAAGAAAACAAGGAAAGTTAAGAGTAGCTTTAAAAGGATAAAGGAAGAAGCTATCGGCGTTGATCAGTTCTTGAGGGATGCGCCATGCATTCGACTTCATTAAGCATCGTTAGAGGTAACTGAATGCACATATGGCCTTTACAACATCCGTGACTCACGATGGCTTAACGATATATCCAGCCAGTGATGCTATCCTCCCAGACAAATCTGGTACCAACTTGTCGACCCTAGGAGGACGGAAGACTTGGTTAATCTTGGGCGCGAGGATCGATCCCATGTGCATTGCACGCACCTCTGACCACTGCCCTACACACGCTAGAGTACCCTTATCTGATATTCAATGACCTATCTTCACGATGAACTGTTCGGATTGCAGCACAACATCCATTTAATCGAACTTCTTTTCTTAGGCAAGGATAGTAGCGACTCCATGAGTTGATATAATTTTAATTGGGTAGCGATATGAAAATTCTCCGCACGTTTTGAGTTTAGGAACCTTCCGAGGAATGATACACTTGTATTTTGGAATCTGACAACCAGTAAACGGGGCACACAAAAATTAGAAAATCCAAGGAAATAACACTCAAATATTTGGTCAGTTCGTATGGAAGATTAATTCCAAAGTGTACTACACACCTGCAGTGGACAATCCTCATCAGGCGCGGCCAAATAACCATCTTTTGTGTCATTCCGGAACAAATCCGACTCCTCTGTTCTCATCACAGTAATAGCGGCATGCACAAGGTAGGCGACCACTTCTCGTCCTACGAATGCAAGAACGAACGACACTGATGGTTCACACTGAGGAGCACCTAACCACCACAGTAGGTTGCCCTGTTCATGTTTCCTGAAAAAGAAAAAGCAACTTTTAATTGTATAATTATTGATGACAGGAGCACAAACTCCTTATGAAAAGTAAGTTCACAGCAATCAAGTAATAATGTAAGATGTTGTCGAGTAATGTACTGACGCTACCCTCTCATAACGTTTAACATGAATGAGAACACCTTGTTGAGAACTAGTTAAAAACTACAAGAGCATTAGCTCACAGGGGTGGATATGAACCATATGTAATGTGAATATATAGTGTGTCCATTATACTCTAATAATCTAGTAATTATGCAAAAAATCTGACAATTTCTTCAATATATCGCCGAAAGAACATTTTGGTCCTTTCAGAAGTTACTGATTTCCACGACTAATCGTTTTCACCTTCGAAATTCCCAAATGAAGTTCTCTGGGTATTGTATTCATAGTGTACACCGTTTTAAAACGTGGATTTCTCTACACAGCTTCATGTCAGTGTCTCTGTTCTTCGTTTGTGCTGAATCCAAACTAGTGGAACGGCATGAAAGACCAAGTTCCAGCAACTTTTTTTCTGACAAATTCAGGCTAAAGAGACGACCAGTACTGTTAAAGTTAAATTTGCTCAGGAAATTAAGACAAACCAAGCCTCTGTAAAGCAATAATTTGGAAATTGTTCAATTGAACTCAAATGAAGAACAAATTATCGTCGTTAGAAGCAGTGGTTGGGAAAAGACGAAACACTAATACTCTTTTTGAAGGCGATCTTGCATGAAGCGGTAAATTTAAGGGTTTCATTCCCGATACAAGCAGAAACTGCAATGTCCTTCACCGAAACCGACTAGTCCAAAAGCACAATATCTCTTGTACGACAAGATTCGACTGTACGCCGTACAACCACCATGGTAACAAACCACAAACACAAGACTACTTCATCAGCATATCTGTCGGATCTATTGCGAACCGACTGAGACTTTTTCATGCACTTCCACTACTTGTTGTTGGAAATATCTCGAGAAGATTAGTGGACTTCACAGATAGAATTCTACTTTGGTTTCATAAACGTTCACCTCGTTGACGAAGATGTACAAATTTTAATGGATTTTACAATTCAACTAAGAAATTTTGATATCTATTAAAACATGTGCAGTTGAAAACGAATGGAAAAGAACGAAAATTAGTTCTTAACAAGATGACTGTTTCTGGTAACTCCCACGACCGACTTCGTGCTAACCACGGCAATGATCAAATAGTCCCGATATCCTTGTTGAACAAACACGAAGTCTTACTTAATAAAGAATAGCTTCAAGTATTTTTGAAGCTGCCGTTATTCCCTCAATACCAAACTACGAGTGATATTAGCCTTACATACAGCACCAGCCAAATGACCAAGGTCAACACTAATTCTTCTCCATAGTCCATGAGCTCGTCATTTACCACCGACCACCAATTCACCACTAAGTAGTGAATGTATGAAGAAACTGTTTTGTTTCCAACGCTATTGAAACCTAGGATGTTTTCCTCACTAGGTTGTAGTCAACCTGACTTTTCCAGGTTCTTATGAAAGCGAAATCCGCCAAAATGCCTGCTTTTGTGGAAAAATAAATGGTATTGTAGCATCTCTTGTGTCCTTATTAATAGAACAGCAAATTACCACTTACTTCTTAAATCTTCCCTTGTCGTCATCAAGGAAAGTGGCTGCACGAGCTGCAGTGAATCTCGAATATTCCTCAACCGATAACTCGTTCATGACAGTGTTCGCCGTACGCCGTTGCCTTTCATCTAGCTCTGCATCGAACAGCTCGAGAAGGTCATTGACACTTCCTACCAGACTTGTTGAGTTCACGAAATTCTTCATTCGCGTTAGGTTCGAATCGCGCGTACTAAAAACTATATCGCCTTACGAATACAAAGTTCACTTGTCACAACAAGATCATGTCCATTAATATGTAACATTACTTGGACTAGTGGTGACATTCCAAACTTTCTAGACATATGCATTAATAAAGGATAAGGGATAAAGCTCTCGGCGTTGATCAATCCCAGAAGGATGCGCCATACACTCGACTTCACTAAGCATCGTTTGGAGGTGATTGAATGCACATCTGGCCTCTACAGCGACTCGCGGTGGCCTACCGATGTATTGAGCCAATGCCGCTATCCACCCAGACAATTCTGGTACCAATTTGTAAAGCTCGAAAGGATGGCGAGCTTGGTGAGCCTGAGGCGCGAGGATCGATCCCATGTGTATTGTAGAGCGTCTCTGACCACTGCGCCATACGTACCTTTATATGGATTAGTGTAATTCTTAATACTACTAAACCATATGTAGACAATTCTCTGTTTAAATACAGATACATTAGAAGCAATAACTACCTACGTTGTCGTTTTCACCTCATCGTCATCACTGTCCTCATCGCGGTCGCCATCCAACTTTTCGGTTCGTGGAGCAGCCCGTTTCAATTCGTTTATACACTCGATTGTCTCGGCAAAGTGCAGTAATCTCTTTAATATAAACCTATTCCTCCTAAAGAGGAAGAGAACATCCTCCAGCATGATCACGTTTCTTTGTTGAGAATTTGCACGGTTCCAGGCGTCCTCAAGAACTTTCACCATTTGAAATTTGACTAGGTCGAGCACCAAATCTACACAGTATGGAATGGAATCTTCGAGATCTCCATTGCTGTACATCATCTTCCGTACAACTTCGCGATAATGCTTATGTAACTCTTGCTTATCGCTCTCACAAGACATCTGAAAGGAATCACATCTACATGACAGTAATCATTTGCTCTACAGTCGACGGCCACACTTGTAAAGGCGTTAACGTCCAATTTTTTACTTGAACTTCTTCCTTACTTCTGTTCTGATATATGATGATATAAGTACCTAACGTACCTTAATATACTAGTTTCGACTTCTCTTGATTTCCTTCCTCCAACTAATTTTATAGGAAATCCTGGAATATAAAAAACCCATTGGTTCGAAAGCACTATGATGTAATTTGGATAACAGTACTATGTACTCTAGAGTTACAACACTTTCGTTAAATAACAGAAATAGAAGGATAAAGCTCTCGGCGTTGATCAATCCCCGAGGGATGCTCCATGCATTCAACTTGTATCGTTGGAGATGAGTGAGTACATATCTGGCCTTTAGATGATTCGCAGTGGCCTACCGATGGATGTATCGAGCCAGTGTTGCTATCCTCACAGACGTACCAGTTTGGTACCAATTTGCCGACTCCGGAGGGATGGAAGGCTTGATGAACCTGGAAGGAGGAGACCGATCCCATGTGTGCCGCATGTGACCACTGTGCTATACACGCCCTACAGCTTCATTAGCCAACGACATGCTGAGCCACATTTTTTTCAGCTACAAGTGCCGATTTACAAAAATTCCGAGCCCTCCCTTCTTGAAAGTTGATTTGGAACTAAATTGTAAAGCATAATGGATGAGAAATCCCAGGTGGTAAAGGTTGACACAGTGAAGGGGATTCTCCCTATGATTACAATGGAAGATTGTAAAATATCCTTGAGCGCATCGATAACGATTAATAGCGATGTAAACGAACTTCACAACATAAAAACGGATACTTCATTCGCTTTCAAAGTAAAAGTACGTTCTCGACATACAGACATAAGTATCCGAACTCTATCTAGAAAAAAAGAAAAATGAGGAAATGCTTACTCCTAAACATGAGCGAAGAGATACAAGTGGTGGAACAAGGTACAACGTCAAAGCTATTACATGTACAAGACACCTAAAGGAATCCACATCAGCTAAAACCTAAACGACCAAATATTCTGATCACTGCTCATCTGAACAGGTGTGGTTCCACCCACTAGACAACCCTAGACAACTACAGAATGAACTACGAAACATCTACAAGTGTTCAGGATGTCGTCGCAAACATGAGATCATTTCTTGTGGTTTTATTTCGCCTTTGCAGATCCTGTGAACGGCAACGAATAGAGGAAACCTGAAGAGATGAGAACTTTACTAATTTCAAACACGAACTGGTGGAAAATGGGCATTACCATAACAAGCGGTTCGCACAGATCCAATGACCTGAGGAATTACTAGATCTTCTAGATGTTACTGTTTATTACAGAAATGGGAGAGTACGTCTCACACAATAACTACTTTACTAATGACTGAACCCATCATATTGAAAATTGGACACGGATTCATAACCGATGCAATTTAAGAAATTCATATTAACTTCTAGAACTCGACACTCATAAAATAAGTTACAAAATAGAATGAAAACCATAAAAGGATAAAGCTCTCGGCATTGATGAATCCCTGAGGAATGCGCCATGCATTTGATTTCATTAAGCATCGTTTGGAGGTGACTGAATGCATATCTGACCTTTAGCCAGTGCTTATCTTCCCAGACATGTCTCGTACCAATCTGCCGATCCTGGAGGGACAGAGGGCTTGGTGGGCCAAGAGGGGGAGCCAATCCCATGTGTATTGCAGGGCGCCACCGACCAGTGCGCCACATGCGTCCCCATATGAAAACTATATAAGTGTAAGAATATAAGGCAAATCAAAATGCGAGAAACAAAATAAACAACCAGACATGTAAAATGTGAGGACTATAAAGCTATACGAAAATAAACTCACAAAAGAAATTATTACCATGTTCGATGTTTTTCTTCAATAAGCAGACACGAGGTTATTATAGAATTTATTAGGACACAATAGTTGACCTTTTGGCGGCTTGCCTTCTTCAGAGCCGTTTATTTGTTGTAAGTATTTAAGTTAGTTGATGGATAGCAGCTAGCCACACAGAGTAATACGTGGGCAACAGTCATCGGCGAAACCGCCGAAACGTCATCTATTGCTTCCTAATAAATTCTGTAATAACAACCTCGTGTCTGCTTACTGAAGAAAAACATCGGATTATCAATCAATGCCGAGGTTAAAAGAAAGGTGGCCATGGGTATTACTACGTTGTTAACACAATCATACAGATGCATATTTCACAAATTTAGTGAGCAAGAGAACAGTATATAAAGACAATGTGAAAAAGAAAGGTTTGCATAAAACAGACTAAAATAAGACATTCGATTAAGATGAACACTCACTTTTCTGACAAACCGCTCTGGTGTACCATGTAGTAGACCTCTTCGGCGGTTAATGGACCCTGAGCACTTTGACCCCGCAGAAGCTCCTTCTCCACTTGATCAAGGGACTTTCCCGTTTTTACAAAGGCCTCGCACAACTTTCGATTCCGGCCACCGTAGCAGGTAGTGATAAGATCAGCGATGCCGCAAGACTCGAAAAACGTCTCCAGGTTCGAACCAGGATAGTAGTGCTCGACGAACTGAACGAGTTTGCAGTTTTGCGCAAATATTTCTATTCTACACATCACTGACAAAATGAATTTCAAATATAACTTGTTCCACCACAAAGAGGAGGTATACATAAAAAAAATCAAGAGTACGCCAGACTTTAAGAATCTTGAAAGTTCCAAAGAAAATTAGCCATCTCCTCCCTCCCAAGTTTCAAAAAACATTTCTCACATTCACGACAATGACAATATGCAGTTTTCAATGCACACTGGGTCAGAAGAGATAAAAAGTGGACGATGTGCATTGATTTGAAAGCATTTCCCTTCTGGTTGTTTCTTTTGTCAAATAAACATTCTCTTCGATACATTTCACAGCACAGAAATTCTATTCATTGCCTATTGTCTCTTCACAGTATACTAAAATTCTTTACAGTGTACGGTGGCATTCTACTCAAAAATGCAGAATTGAGGATCGGCAACCAAAAATACACATGGTTGCGGGTGTGTTACAGTAAGCAGTCAAGTGAGAAAAACGCTGACTTCTGATCGACATCACATGAGTGAGATAACTCAAAAAACACATACTTTTGTGATTTCCATAAGGCCAAGTCGAATAACTGCGGCTTTTGTGTTGTCACCATATCCAAGACCATCGGTGAAACCAGCTGCACAGGCAACAATGTTCTAAACATCAAACACCTCACTATCGTAATCACCTACATGAGATGCGATCTCACAAATCATCGAGTAACTTCTTCGGGAACCGGAACTATCTACGCTCATCTCTGTCTCACGTTTGAACTGCTAGTTTGTTTTGGACGCTTGAAAACACAAGAAGTACCAAGTTTTCCCTCAAAACCTTTCATTTCTAACCATTTCGGCAATAAACCAGCCAACGGTGGTTAGTCGAACTCCGCTCGGCACCTCAGTATGCCATAAATGCAATACAAAGCGCCACTTATTCGTTACCTCTCGTAACAGGTTTATTTACTTCCACAACTTTACATAACATTTCACTGACAACCATGTGAAATGTAACGTTTCCTCATCCACGGCCGGCTAAAATTCAATGGTCTTCTCCAAATCAGCAAGCAACACAATCTCACGGCCGAGAGAAAAATGAAACGAAGGACCCGCATAGTGTGATGGTAAACACGTTAGCCACCTGAAAGGGTGATAACGAGGTTCGATACCCATCGCAGACACCTGTGCTCCGCAGTTTTGCAAATATCTCAGCATCATTGTAGTTGTACTTCACATCACACCCTGACATGAAAAAAGAAAAGGCAGTAAATAAAAAGTGATTACGAAGTACCACTCTCTTACGACGACGCGCAGCAACAATGTAGCATTACTCAAAGCAGCATCGTGGCACCTTCGGACTTCTCTATAGTTGTTTGCATGCTTCTGAAGACCGAATCTATTTAAATAGCAATGTTGCAGCATGGCAATTTGTTCAAAACAAAGGAGGTATTTTCGTTAAACAAGGATGGTGCCAGATGCACGAGAACAGCTGTCGAAGCACATCTCCGTTGGATGCGCATTTAAGTCATGTACTGCTTCACCACTCTGTGAAAACGACAGCCTTCAAACTGGAATTGGTCCTTACGTCTCGCCAGTTGTTCTCAATGGTTAGTGAGCAGGACGTCAGAACGGTTCTCTGTTATCGACGATCGACACCTAGGCCACATCTAGGCAATTCCGCTTCCTATTTCTACAATAAATTATAAGCATGTTTTCAAGGTAAAATGATGAGTGGAACGTGAAATACTGCAGAACGAGCGGCATCTTGTACATATGAACGAGAATAGAGTTGATGGAGCAGGACTGCTGACGGGAAACAACCACATTGCCTTCTTCGGGCATATGGAGATGACTTTTAGTACCTTATTTAAGCAATGAAGTGTTTCTCAGTAAACAATAAATCAAGGTGCTAGTCAAATTTCGTCTCAATATAATGAAAGGAATTCCAAAGTTGATGGATGAAGTGCAATCATAACGAATCGAACGTTCGAATGAAAAAATCTGATAAGCGAGTGGCGAACTAAGGTGGCCGATGGTGTATATGATCCCCTAAAGATAACAACTAAACCAAACTATATATGAGCCAAATACGGCATACAAAGAAGCACTGCCCTTAGTTTAATGAGTGAAAATAACCACAAACAAAGCAAATGATAAAGGGAACCGATAACCATATACAGAATAAAACACTGCCCGAAACAACTAGGTATGAAACCTTAACGTCATTTAACATCCCGATAACTTCAACTAGAGCCTCTAAGATAAGCCGCGTCACGATACACTTCTACAACATAAAAGATATATAACAGCACGAAAATCAAAGTGCTAATTTCTTATTTTGTTAAGAAAGCGCCAAACCTTTAATGCCCCACACAATTCAACGGTGTGGGCATCTTCAACAACACTGATGCGGAAGTTCTCACTATTGAATAGCTTTTTGAACATCGCTCCATACAACGCTATGTCCTTACAGCCTTAAAAGTTACTGAATAAGGAAAGCATGGAGACTGAAAAAGTACCACGAAATAAATTTCGTGATAGACTACCAATTGTGGCTTCACAGAAGTCATTATTGGCGACCTCATGAGCCAAGTTCGCTCCCATCAAAACGCTGACGTTTATTCCAAGAATCTCATGGATTTCATCCGATATGAGCTTAACGCCGCCTAATTTCTCGGCGGAAGGTGCAGAGAGACCCTGTAAATATATTGGTAATAAAATAACAGACAAAGTGCACTAGTGGGCACAAGAAGTCTCGTCTTAACTCTGAAAACGAAGTCGAAAAAAAAACACAACGAAATAGGAATCACTAGAAAGTAGAAGTGCTTAACACACTAGCGACTTATATTTCCGACCGATTTGCCGTCCAACAAGTGACACAGTTCATTTTATTTTAGTACCTACTCTTGTGTGGCTCTTGTGTTCTTTAACGTAAATTCTCTTCTACTTAAATACCTCAACTATCCTTCAGATCTTCTTTGCACGGTCCCATGCTTTTTATGAATTCCCAACCGTGCGATGAAGAAAAGAGTCGTGCAACATTAAACCACATTGTATTGTCGGACTTTGGTAGTCGAGTCTCCAGTATGTTTATTCCTACCTAACCTTTATTATTACAGTTTCTCGCCATGGCGATTGCAAAGACAAGACCTCAAAACCATCGAGGAGGTCACGCCATTCAATGGCCTGCCCTATATGATGGGAAACTTAGACGAACACCACTGCGTTATAATAGGAGTCGTAACTGTGCTTATACACGCCGTCCTTTTCGTTTCCACGGTGAAAACGTCTGTATCGACGTGATCGTTTTGTGTTCTAGGAGGAGAATAGAATTTCACCACTACATTCTAGATCAGACATTTCATCGTGCATAGGTTCACATAGCAATGTTATGGAAGATGGCGATCAAGAAGTCGGGCAACGTAGGCCACAAGATCTGCCTTTCACAAGCAATCCAGTGGTTTCCAAAGGGTATTTTACAACGTGCATTCATAGCACCATGCTAAATGAGGTGATTCAAAGTGCCTACATCCATTCCAATAACCAAGGATGCTGCTGTTTAGGGCCAGGACAGGGTCACCATACAATTCATGCAAACTCGAAACAACCTGTAGACCAAAGTTCAAACAGAATGGATTTAGCATACGCATAAAACGATCGCTTACACGATAGTTAGATACCGTCAATAAAATCACACAACGAGAAATGACGTTTTGACTTTTCTGTCCTACTACAATAAAAAAATCAGCTAAAAGTGCTATAAATTAGAATAAAAACTTGAGACTGCTAGGTCCAAACTCATTTGGTACGTCATAGAAATAAGCCAGTACAACCCTCAAATTAAATCGACACTAGACCTGAGACAAAAATTCGAAGAAACTAGCTACGCAGTCCTTCAATGCAGTCAATTCTCTTTGAACCTCATTTTCTTCGAAGATTCCGCATTTCTTTTATTTAGAAATATCCATTAGATTTAATTGTTAAGAAAACAAATGGCATTTTATTACAAGGAAATCTTCGCCTGACGCGAAACCGCTAAGGACATTGTTGCCCACCCATTCTACATTTCTAGAGAGTTCAACAAAGCAGAGTAAAAAAAATATGTGGTGTTAGAATAACTTCAAGTATTTAAGGTACTTTCATGCTTACCTTAATGAGTGAAATCGCTTGCACATCCTCTCCAATCTTCCCACGAAGTTCATGGCAGATTTCTAAGCAAAATATAATAAAGTTAACCAAGTAAGGAATATGAAGTTCATCTCCTTTTTCACTCCAATAATGATAACATCTTCTCACTCGCGAAAAAGACATGTTACTCACTTCTGACAAACTGGTGGGGAACGACGAATACAAGAACGTTTGCTTCTTTGCACGACTCTACTAAGTTGGGAACAGCTACCTAGAATTAGGCAATTGGGACAATCTGAGATGAACTTAGTGATGTAAAATATAGCAGAAAATAGCAGTCCATTAAAATTCAACAAAACAGTTCACAAACCTCAAAAGTGAACACATTGTGAAATATAACTTCAATGATGCAGAGATATTTAATATAACTGCAGCCTCAGCTTAACTGGGTTCGTTACCGATTTGGGCTCGCCAGATCACTCTAGTTGACGGGTGATTGCTGATGGCAAAAGATCGATAGAAATAACTGAGAGACAAGCGAAACGAAGGACCCGCATGGTGTGGTGGTGAACGCGTTACTCCCCGGAAAGGACAACAGCGCGTTCGTACCCCACCGCATACACCTGCCGTCCGGAGTTTTGCAAATATCTCAGCATCACTGAAGTTATATTTCACAATCACCCTGCCGTTAAAAAGAGTACGCAGTAAATAATTAGTTAAAATTGTCAGTACAATTAAGCTCTAGTCATTTTCAGTGACATACGATTTGCTATGTATTCACTATCGTTTTCTCATAACCTTCACACTATAGATATATATGGAAAGTAATTCCACATTAAGCAGGATGTGTTTTCAAGACCAAAACCTTGGTTTCCTTCAGATCTAACTATAGGTCTCAACGAAAAAACCCCAAAAAAGACCAATCCAGGCCAACTCGACGACCACTAAGATAATATGGCATCACCTTTTAATTACAAGTTAGTAAACGTACGACGTTTTCCGGTATGGCCTTCCCTGGCAGATATTTCACGTTTTCGTGGCGAGTGTTGATGATTTCGGACAATTTCTCATTACCGATCATCTCCTCATACACCTCAATAGATCAAATGAGAACCCGAATAAGCTCACAGCCCGACTCCAAAAATGAATATCGAAACATGTTCTATTCTACTTACCCACATCCGAACCACAGGATCGAAATCATTCGGGAAATTCTTCGTCGTGCATCCGACTATTCGAGCTATAGCCGTTCCCCTGGGAAAAGAAAAAGCCATACCACTTAATAAGGTAAGACGCTAGCCAGAAATCGTTAGTGCACAACCTAATGCTTAGTACTTTTCTCAAGTATTTGCAACAACTCCTGGCTCAGCAATAAAGAAGAGAACACTGTACTTAGCAACTGGTAGCATAATTGCTTGGCTTCACGTTTATGTCAAAGGTAATAAAGTCTTTTACGGCTCAGAATTCGATGTAGTTTCACAAAAATGGTCTTCGAGGAGAGGTTCACGCGAGATCACACTCATTTCCCCAACAGATTTTCATACAGAATATTTACGCATTTCGGACGATATGGGTCACACTTTTAAAACTACTCAGGTCACAGTGGATACTTCCTACTCGAAAAAAAAAAACCATTAGAAGATAATTCCTTAGACCAACCTTCTATTAATCTCGGCATTGATTGGCAATTCACCTTTTTCTTCAATGAGCAAACACGAGAGGTGAAACCGCCGAAACGTCAGCTATTTTCTGCTGATAAATTCTATAATACCAACCTCGTGTTTGCTCACTGAAGAAAAACAGTGAATATTAGAGTGTACAAAATTTTTGCCCTCTTCATTCCACCATGACGAAGCAGTAACTTCCTCGAGCCTAGATATCATCCATTTTCTCTTGTCGAGATTTATATCTCGAGGAGGGAAACAATTGCTGAATCTGTAACTCATTCAGTAGGTCGCGACGACGTCCCTAATTGTATCGCTTTACGACTAGCGTTGTGTTTAAAATTCTAGAAATGTGAATCTTGAAGAAATTTGAAATAAAACTTACACTTTATAGAAGCCTTAAAAATCTTAGTCATCGTAACTCTACAGAGATAGCGCACCCCTTCCATCTCTGTTTGGTTACAAGTTATCGAGCGCTACGAAAAAAAGACCTTGAGAAACTGGAAGGTTAAAGTTGGCACCGACGACAGTGTGTCGGTTCGATATGACATCTCAAGAGTTTTTAATCAACAGCCAGCCAAATCGTTACCTTGTGTGATTGAAAAAATCGAGTCCTTAAACTTTTTGAGATGTTACCTCTTAAGATACGCCAAAAAAGCTTTCGAAAATCCCAAAAAAAAAATTTCGAAAAAACTACAGGAAAAACAAATTCTTCCGTGTTTGGTTTTATCCCAATCATAGGCAAATGATTCATGAATATTCTAGACCATTCTAGAAATAAAGACTAATGCCTTTGATTAAGAGTGAAAACTGACCAGTTTCCCGAACCGATGATCGTCACTTTGCGCGGCCCCATAACTGCCGACGGATACGACTTGAACAGACCCAGAAGGGACGAGACCTGAACTCTAGGCATGGATGAGCTAAAAGCACAACTGTTGCGTTTTCAAAGCACAAAAGAAAGAGTAGTATCAGACGAACTTAAACAAGGTTATAAACTCTAGGTAAGCACTGTGTTATTCCGCTACATAAAGCTGCCGGTTTGACAGCAGTTATTGGTATCATATTGTATCAAACATGGACAGGAAGCAGATAGTCGATATGCATTCTTCAAGTCTTCTCCCCACATCATTGAAGGGGAACAGTAGAGGCGATGGAGGTATTAATAGGCAGATCATGCGTCTATTCTAATAGAAAACCTATGTCAGGAACTCTACTCAAACTTACTCCTGTCATTGACTCGATTCCCATGGTTAAAAGTGTAGACGACTACTAGATAACTCCGAAGAAACGGAGAAGTGATAGCTGATAAGGATTGGCGTTGGTTGTTTGGGGAGCACTGCACTTCGCACTGTACAGTGAATGAACAACAATCATAACATTTCCGCCCAATGAAAACAACGAAAGCACTCAAACATATGCACAGCGACCCAACCTGGTACCAGTGTTAGAACGATGATAGGAAGAAGGAAGACGGAAGGAAATAGATTTTTGGAACAATAACCATTTTTTCAATCTGCAATCAGAAGTAGTGACTTGAATCCCATAGTCAACCCCTATCAAAGCAAGACGTTAGGACTACATGGATCGAGAGAATAGAGATGTATAAAGCTCTCAGGACAGAACTGTTCCTGAACTCCAATATGAGAACAGTAGAGTCAACGAAACCGATGATTGGATATCACATCCACGAACTGCAACTGCAGCCTCTCACCGATCTTCTACTAAGAAGAAATGAGTCGCTAGTCCTCGAATTACCTACTTTAGAAACCATTATTTGGAAAAAAAGAGCTAGAAGAATTGGAACAACACAAAGAGATGGAATTTGAAAATGACTTGCATAGAAGTTCAACCACCTTAGACACGAAATCCACGGATCCAACACTTCAAAGTAGTTCATCTATAAATTGGATAACTCAACCCGAGTTTTCAACAGTGAGAGTGGAATTTTTGGCGATCGTACCTGCGTAGTCGATCTTTCCTACAAGGCTAATGCTGGATAAGCAGAATATTCTGAACGTGAACCCACCGCCGATGCCACGGTTACCACAGCTGAGATCATGTCAGCATTCCACAACCACCTCTTCGTATCAATCCACCTCCAGAAATTCGCAAACGTGTCGTGGCGATGTAGGCTATGGTGAAAACATGCAGAAATACAACTTGCGAAACGCTTTTTTAACAGCCTCACCGTGCCCACGCCCACGCATTCTGAATTGTATGAGCATGAGCTGTACATAATACATACCTGTCAGGCGTTTATGGATGCTATAACTCGTATGTGGTTCATTTTCCTCCAATTGTTTTTGCTACACAAATATTTTTTTGCCAAAGCTTTTGTATTAACACGTTCGCACAACAATGACTAATATATGACCAATGCGGTTCGGGGTAACTTGGCCGGCAAGAATCACATACGTCTCCACTTTTTTCCGGTTGTCTCTGTTACCACGCAGTCTTTGCCCACATTTTTTTTTTGAATTTAAATGATAGATTCCCCAATAAGGTACTGTAACAAACCTCTATCGGGAAAAGTGTTTAAAATCTGCCAAAATCTACAGAAAAAACCAACTTTCGGATATATTTTGCCCTGGATGTGGCCGGTGGTGAGAGAATGTTGCTGCTTCAAATGGTACTGAGATATTTCCCCTGCAAAAGTACGATAGAAGAAGAGGATGGTATCAAGATATCTCTGCTGTACAAGTGCGAACACATCACCCCGTGATAATTATCGTTATTCTGGGTTGATGAGGAACCACAGAGATTGTTGATAGTGAAGAAGACATCTGATGGCTCTGCACCGTCGGGTAGAATGCGTGTAGATTACCCTTATTCCATTTCTATGGCAAGAGCAGCGGTCTCAACAAACACTTCAATATCTACAGTCATTTTTTTTAATTCCACTAAAGCTCTCTATGTTCCCGTGTTATCGGCGTTAGTACGACTTCTCTCATTGCCCGCTTGAGCTCCCTCCTGTGAACACGAACCACTCCTGTGAAGACGAACAGGACCTCAAAAGTGAACCAGTAATACGTAAACTAGTGTTGACATTTAGTTGCTTCCACCAAAAATATGATGCTCGACAAATATTTAAGTGAGTTATTGATCACTGCGTTTACATGAGGTAAGGGTGACGTTTAAAGAATTCATAATGAAACTGGTATTGGCTGGTATAGCTCTTGAAAATGGCTGCATACCAGTAACGTGAACCTTTCCAACATAAAGAAAGCCAAACAGTTTACATGCAATTCTCACATTCTCACAATTCTCTTTTGTGACACAACTGGCACCTCGTTACTTGCCACTGTTCTCCTCATACTTGTCAACTTTGTCACTACTGTGCGAGTTCCATCACTTCTTCAATTAGACTCGTTTCTTCGTACCCATCGTCATCTTCATCCGTGAACATCTTCGAACATTTCGCCTTCAACTTCGGTTGCTGCTTGAGGATTGTCTTTGTGGATTTCGCTGATTGTTGGTTGAGTCGATTCTCCTTGAAGTCCTGGGAGAGCAAGGGTAGAGCGTTCCCACTTAGACTGCAGGTTGTCGGTTATTCCCAAGTCTGGTATCAACTTCCGAAAGAGAGATTTGGTGAGCGTGAGAACGGGATCGAACTAGTATCGTGCTTGGGATGAACGGCACCACTACCACTGGACTATCCGCCTTCTGCTATTATCACTCTATCACTATCAATTTATATATTCTTACTTTCGAAGTGGGGTCAGAGCGAGGTCAAAATATCAATATCCACTAATAAGTCCAACACATGCGCGACCATACATTGGCGAACATTACGAATGACGGGCACTGAGCTCGGTGTGCACCCTTTTAGTGGGTTTCTTTTGCCGTACAGAGGCTTCTGCCAAACTTTTTGAGGTCGATCGATAACTTGTCCAACACAGATGTTGTGCTGGGCGATAGTCGGGAGCTCTATTCAGCACTTAGAAGTATACAAAAACCGTTTTCTGAATGGGTTCAGTGACTGGGAACTTGACTGGTAGACGACAGTAATTCCATTCTCAACCACTACAATGAACCATAGTTATCGCACGGGTATCAAACACCCAGGTAGAGTCAAACAGTCTCCCAGCTCTTGTCAAATGCTATTAGCAACGTATTTCCACGATGGAAAATAGATACACACAGTAAGCAATAGCATAGTTATCATGCATACCTCTAGATGGATTGAAGAAAATCTTTTCTGTAACACTTTAATGTTCTCAATTCACCATCTAGTTATTGAAAAAGTATTGTCTATCGTCGAAAAATCAACATGTCCGTAAATGCAGAAAATTGGACGTGCTCTAGTGTATCGACCGCACGAAAATAGGCGTAGCCGCGGAAGAGTTTATAAAAAACAAAACTCCTTCAATTAGGGTTAGCCTTCGTATAAACGAACAGAAATGATAGTCTAGCAAGCAACTGTAGTAGCTCGTTTAAGGTCCGTAAACATTCTCGTCACAGTGCAGTACGGTATACGGCGTTCCCACTTTCGTTTTTGCAACAAAATAACACAACACATGGTCTTAATAGAGGTCGTCTTTGACAATGGAAAACAGCGATTTAGATAACAAAATATCAAAGCGCCAGTAGGAAGGAGATCAAAAATC